TTTTTTAATCACGATCAGATCAAAATATTTTACCTTCTCTGAAAATTCATATTAATTATATTATTATAATAAACATTACTTTATAAAAAAAAAAACAAAAGTAATTTTTTTCCATGTTCAGGAACACTAAAATGTATCTTTTACATCGTACTGATATTTCTTTGACATCAAAAGGCAAATGACCTATAATCGTTCGATCTTGAACCGTTTGCAAGGAAGAAAAAATAAAAGTGAACATTATTCAAATTATGTGTTAAACCTACGCTTTTTTCCTAATTTGGTTCGAACAATACACATATAGAGCGATATATGTATATATATACAAAGATGTATGTAATTGGGAAAGTAAAATGTTTTGAACATTTATTGTTTAGTGAGTCATGAAATATGTGTAACTTAAAGTAATCCTGTAGTTATTTAAAGATTGCATTACGCTTTTCAGCTTGCAACTTTGTATTGAGAAGAGATACATATGTATATGAAATAGAGATCAAAAATAATTTTTTCAATACACCATGATACAAAAAATAGAATATCAAAACATAAATTAGCTTTTAATTATATCAAATGCCAATGCAAAGCCACTATTTAAATGATTCATTAATTTTTTTTATAAAGTGAATTCTAAACCGAGGCGTCATCTTGTTGGATAAATCATAAAAATATTCTCTTTTGCCAATTTTATGTCAAAACATTTTATTTTCATGCAGAGTCTATTATGTAAAACTATAATTTTTGAAGTTATTAATTTACACAAATATTATTCCATATATCTCATATATTTAAAAAATGTAAGAATCAAGGTTTCTTATAATATAATGAATAGTTGTAACGCGAAAAAATGATCAAGATAATTGGATAATATCGCATCGCACATATATTTAGAGTTTTTTATTCTGACTCAACATGACTTGTGGTGTACCACAAGGCTACGCACAAAGACACCATTTTTAAATTGACTTCGGCAATAAAATCATAGTTTATTTAATTTGGGTTAAACGAGTATGGCAATTCAGATATACCTTTAAAAATAATATTAAGTATTATTGAGATATTATACTTCCTAAAATACTCAGAAACAAACACACCACTCAATAAATGTAAATACTTAGGACTAAAGATAAAACAAATTATAAGTGATTATGGGAAAATATGGATACAATAATAATACTAAATAATGTGTAAAAACGATAAGTGACAGAGTTAATGATAACTAAATATTACTGAAATTAATGGATTGATAATTAAATGGATGACATTTATTAAAATAATAATAATTTTTGTCTCAAATAACAATATTATAGTATTTAAAATATTTTACTTTTAAACAACAAATAAGCAATGCAAAAAATTACACAAAAACTGAAAACGTCATATATGTAGAAATAACTCGATAATTATTATTATGAAATTAATACTATGAAAAGCATTTCAGTGTATAAATGTTTATAGTTAAGCAAGTTTTTTCATAAATAACGAACAAAAATTCAAAATGATTTGTAGCATGTTGAGAACAATTTTAATAATAAAGATGTGTTCATCATCGAATTTCATTATTATTAACAGCAGTTTATCAATCCTAACAAATAAATTCAATGTTTTATAGTTATTGATGATTTAGTGCATATGTGAACATCAATGTGATATAAAAATAAAAATATTCACATAATATCAAAATGAATGAGAATAAACAACACTAAATTATTAACTAATATCATTTAATAATTTAACATCAATCTGTGGAAAAAAATGTTAAATCGCCTGTGAAAAAAATGTGTGTTGTTATAACATCTAAAATTTCTAATATTTCTTTGAACTTTACCTTCAGTTTCTCAGCAATTTGGTCACTCTTCGCATTTTTTTTAGTAAATCTATGCCAAAGCGCGCAATGTATATAATTTTTAAAAACAATTCATGCTCTAACATTGACTTATGAGCATTTCTTTAAAAATTTAATAAAAATTTAAATTTGCATCAAGATTCAACACTACATCTAACAACTAATCACTACTCTGTCACTATACGTCTAGGAGGCACATTTAACACACATGCTATCTAATTGTTAAAAAAAAAAACTAAAAATCAGGAATTATAACAGAAGACATCTATTTTAGTTTTGTACCATAAGAATTGATAATCAGATTCTAGTAGAATATCTTGAAAGTTTAATATTTTTGTTCTTTTAGTACAGCTGTATTTTGAAATTGCTAATATGAGTAAAAAATTGTCTTTCATATGGTACAAAAATCTACATTTACACGTTCCATCTACTTTGACATGCCCAGTTATAAAAAAAATTATTAAAAAAAAATAAAAATGATAAAAATTTAATTACTCACCGATATCTTGGTTGCTGTAATTTCTGATTACTTCAGCCAGTTCCATATTTCCAGCAATCACTGCAACCTGAAATTTTTAAAACAACAATTATTAATAATTTTCTGCTAAAATTAGTTGATAGATTGCGCCTAACTTTATTAGGTTCTATAAAAAAACATGTCTTTTTTATAAAAATTACCACTATATTATATTACTTTATTTTTATAAATTCATTGATATTCAACTTTCTATCTATTCTTCCACTAAAAACATCAATTATTTTTAATATTTTTCCATAAAATAACTCAAATTGAATATAGAACAACATGTAATAATTGGTAATTTCATTTGTTGCAAGTATTTTGTCTGATTTTTTTAATAAAATAATATTCCTAAATTTGCAAATCAGAATAATATAAATAATTATTGGCAATAAATATCTGGATTATTAAAAGGGGCTGATTCTGCTAGACCAATGCTATGGCAAGGCTATGTTATGGAGTGCTATTCTCGAACGTTCATATAAATGGTACTAAAAACTATAAAATGGTCAAAATGTTATGTATTATCTGTGCAGTAAGGCGTTGTACACATAAAATGCAACTTCATCTGTACGTTATTAAACCACACCACGAAGATCCAGTTATGATAACATCGTTTTTGTGCGTTTTCTAGGTTAGGTTTTCTATCCAAAATTGCCTAACTGCACAGCAACCACATAGCATTTGACAGTTTTTAGTACCGTTTTATATGAAGCTACACGAGCGTAGCGCTACGTAGGATGCCCTTGCCATAACATTGGTTTATTTTACGGCAGAATCGGGCCAAATTGTGAATCAAATGTTAAAAGTTTCATCTATTCAATTAAGGGCAAGTTTCTATATTATATCTGAAGAATTCCATTCTTTTTCAAACTTACAACAAACTAATGACAAATATGATGAATGAATTGTCTCCTTTTGTTCTCTATATATTACTCCTTTCCTAATCTATGCTTAGATCCTTATCTATAACTTATTGTTAGTCTTAGATTATTTAATTATTAATACTAATTCAAAGGCATGGTCAATGATGAAGCTTTTTAAATTAATAAAAATTTGAAGCAAATTGTCTGTCACTTCTTTAAGTTACAACGAAATATAATGAACAACAAATCTATTTTCATAACCATGTATAGCATTGATGATTATTGTCTACGTTTGATTTTATTAAATATAACTGATAAATTATGTAGTAATAACTTATTTTCATCACTAATTATATAACGTTGCGTATTAGTTTCTTCAATTCATATTATTTTTTTTCTAATATTATATTATTTTATTTGAGATGAGCAATAAAAATTGACTATGAAATCTTTTTACGTTTTATTAGAACATTTTAAATGAGGTCAGAAAATATAGACTAATTTTATTACATTACTTTGAGAAATGAATTACATTGTTACAAAAATGAGAAGTCTGAACTAACATAAATATTTCAATTCTGACCTGATACGGAGTTTGACTTGAATAATTCAAGGCTTGTCTTCGAGCCCCCCTGAACAGCAAAAGTCGTGCGCATGCATCTCTTGCATTCACGGCACAAACATGTAAGGGGGCATTCCCAGAGGCATTCCTGGCGTCCATGTCGGCCCCATAAGCTAACAGATGCTCAAGATGCTGAACCAAACCATTTCGGCATGCCTGGGGAAAAGAAGCAGAGAATTTAAAAATCAATAGTTGCATCACAGTTGAAAATTTTATTAACAGACAAAGGCAAGTCAAAATCTTGTTTTTTGGCAGATCCTTAATTCACCAGATACTGTTAATATCTTTCGGTCCATAAACTTGTCATTCATACAATTCTTATATTTCCTCACCTGGTGAACTTCTTGCCATCCTTGTAGATCTTTGGCCCCTATCGTCGCATGGTCGTGAAGTAAGGCTTCGCATATGGCAGGATCTGTTTTGTGTGAAACCGAGGCATATAAAGGCGTCAGACCTTTACAATCTCGATAATTTGGAGAAGCACCGAGTTCTAGCAGAGTTCTGAAATAAAGCAAAATGTATTAAATGATACATGAATTAAATTTTCCTTTAATAATATACTCTAATTCCTAACAGGTTTTTCTAGAAAACACAGTCAATTCACCAGGATATAACTGAATACACTGATATACTATCAACTAAATTCCAGGATTTGCTCATTTAAAAAGAGACTGCCGTGCACATAAGTTTTTTCTGCCGAAATATCGGCATAACTGTTCTCAATATTCGTGCAAAGTTGATCGTCACCGGTTAAATATTTTGTTTTTGCATTCATGAATTACGTCGGTTAACTACAAGCATGTTTGGCCATTTTTACGATGAACAAAATGATCGAACATAGGTTTGGTTTTACATTGGTATATTCTGAAAGCCTATGGTAAGTTTCCTTCATAAAAAATCCTGATGTAATGTAAGGCTTCGAAAGTGGTCCGAGAAGGCGTCAAAGATCTGAACGTCAAGCAATGGTTTCAATGAATAAAAACGTTGCCTAAATCAAGAAAATGGTGCTGGAAAACCACCATTTGGGCTCAAACGAGTTAGTTTTTAACCTTAGCGATTGTAACGAATCAATTACACTATTAAATTGCGCCTGAGACGCTTTGGTGTTATTCGACACGTTTCATGAGTGTTGAACTATCTTCCTACAAGACCGATATAGTAAATGATTTTTTGGCCAAAACCTCATGAATTATCATAAAACAACTACCGCATTCACCAGATCTATCCTCATGTAATTGTTTATTTTTTTCACAAAACTTAAATTGCCACTTGTCAATTACAGTTTTAGGTCAATAGAGGGCACTAAGAAAAAATCTATGAACCAGCTGAAGGAGATCCTTTTAAATATTTTCAAAAAGAGCTTTGACGATTGGATTAATTGTTGGCATGTGTTCAATATTCCAAACAAAGTCCATTTTGAAGACTACAAAAAAATTTAATGATTCAACAATTATTTTGAGTTCTATTAAACAATTCCCAATACTTAGTTGACAATGTGTATACAACGTAAAACAAGAAATGGTTTGGTATTTGAAATTTAAAAGTTAAGAACTATATTAATATAAATTTGTTATTTTGAAGCAAATTCATAGATCTATTCTTATACAAGCTCTTTATCCAAAAGTCATGATTTGTTTGAGCCTCGTATATTTTCTAATTGTATTGTAAGATAATAAAGCCTATTTTTAAACAGACCTATTAATCGTTATTTTCTTGGTATATAACTGTTATAAAATAAATGGAGGAAATATTATTTAATGAAAATATTATTTAAACAAATAAATATGATATATTTATTTATTTAACTCCTATGGCAATTGATCAATATTTATAGAATTTTGTCTTTACGCGTTTCTGATGCAGACTGATTTAGTAGAAAATATGTAATTTGTACAAAATATCATTCAATTAAACACCTCTGCAAAAGGTTGCTTTAAAGATATTATATAATGAATATAAGCATAATAATAATAATGGGTAGTGCTGCCCTAGGGCAGGTCCGTGAGCTGAGTTAAACTCTAACTCGATTCAGGGAAGAAGTAGTGTGAGAGTTTTTCCCATTTCCATTTCACACCGAGTGCCTGAGATGGACTTATTTTCAATTGGAAACATATTTTGATCTATATTTTCAATTGAAAATGGACATCGCGCTGGAATATAAGCATAATCTTCTAAAAGTTTATTTGAAAATGCCTCTTCTTCTATTACTTCATAAATTTTCTCAAGCCCGACAGGAAGGCTGAATGGCCCCGACCGAAGAATAAATTGAAAAAGTTTTTTTATGGGTCCCAATGTCATACTTAATTGTATGACTGTATGAAAACAGACATATTTCAAAAATGGTTTAATTAATATTTTCATTTCCTACCTAACGGCTTCCAAATTATCCTTTTCAACGGCCCTGTGCAGAGCAGTTGCACCATCTCTCGTCCTGTAATCCAGGAGAGCTCCTCCATTCACCAGAGCTATGAGGGTACGTGCAGAACGAGCTGAACATGCTGCTAAACTTAAAGGGGTTTCTGAAAAATAACCCAAAAAATTGTTTTATTCTTAATTTTAAAATAATCTTGGAACATGAATAACGAGCACGCATGTTCTTTAAAAAAATTGATTTCGTCATTCCAAAATAAGGACTTCGATCAAGGCGAATAATCAACATGATAAAGTTAATTAGCCAGCTTTGTTTTAGAATAAAAGCGCAATTTATAATTCTTCAAAATATAATTAAAAATATTTAATCGATAAAAAAATGTCGGTAAAATGAAATTCAAATTAAGCTTTCTTTAAAAATCCAACACTATTTTTATACTTATTGACATATATAATGCTCTTTGCATCTATTATTTTTTATAAAATACTGTCTTAAACTATCTATTTGCAAATTATTTCTCAACTATTAACTTTAATATGAAATCAATTAATAATATGCTCCTTATATCAATTATTTTTATAAATCTTATCTGTTAAGACCTAAAATATTTTGAAGAATTAAGATCATTTTCCTGTACCGTTTAAATTTTTCATTATTTATAGCATTAGTATTATTCAATCTATGACCTTAGAACAAATATTAGTAATATGTCTATTAACAATAAAATATCATTAATCCATGGAAATCTTGCATACGAAATTCGAATCATCACTGTCAATCGTCAAGAGAATCATTGACTATGGGGGCGTCCATTGATCACTTGATCATTTTCTAAAAGATTTTTGGAACCCCCCCCCTACCCAACCAAACATTACGAGTATTTTTAGTTACGAGAAAAAATAGTTTTTTTCATTTTTCTTGAAAATATTTTTTTTTTAAAAATCAGGTAAAAATAGATACCCCCCTCACCCCGATGTGATATTTCGTGATTTTTTGTCAAACCCCCCCTCCCCAAAGAACCTCATGTGATTAATGGACGTCCCCTATTTGCTAATTTGTCCACAATTGATAACTATAAATGTAACAATATTTGATTCCATATAAAATTCGAAATCATTTTATGATCAAAATTTTACAATTATTTTATGAGTACAAAGTTGCTAAATTGTGAAACCTTCTCCGACCTCCTTGAATATAAGTGACTTTAGGATCAATTGACCTTTATATTATTATCATATAATTACCTCCAGTATCCTGACAATGAAAATTAGGATCCAATCCCTTGGCACACAGTTTGCTTATTTTGTCGACGCTGCCATTCTGCGAATATTCTGCAAACCTCCGCAGATTTGCTCGAGTATGCAAAGCCTTCAGTTGGCGCTCGTCGACTTTCGTTAATTTGTACACTCGCCTTTTATATTTTAACTGAAAAATGAAAAAAATAATGATAGAGCAAGATAAACTATTTGTTTTGACAAATAACAATTTAAAAAATATACGTATTTAAGAAGTTATATCAACTCTTCTAAGAAAAATATATCATAAGTAGAATAGGACCTTTAGAACAGATTAAATTGATTCGTCACAAATGTTTAGAATTCCAAATTCTGGTTTACTTTACAAAAACATATTGAAGAAACCGGGCAAGGTCTTGATTGTTTTCTTAGGTCTATTCTTGGGTAACTTAAATATTTATAATGTCGCTTTCTTTCAGTAAAATTATTTATTAACAAGTTATAAGGCATGTAATGTAAACCCATCCGCATCACGTTGTCATAGCTACTGTCCAGCAGGCCGACGACGTAAACTGAAGTGTGCAAGTGCATTTTTGGCAGGTAATATGAAATTGTACTATCATTCGTTTGCGTTATATAGTAACAACTAATATTATTCTTGATTTGTTTTAAATTGTAGCAATATTTGATAATGTGTAATATTATTAATTTGTTAATATTAGTAATATGTTACAGTATGCGCCAAGTAATGATGTGTATAATTGCTTTTAGTTCCTGCACCACGAAAATTATAAATCAAATTAAAATTGAGAAGCAACCAACTCCCTGCTGCTGCATTCTGCAAAAACTTATTTTGTCTTCGAAAATTAGACCATTTGGTCTTGGTGGGCAAAGATGGTATTAAGAAAATCTAATACAATTAGCAGGCGAGAAGGAAAATGTACAACATTGGTGAATATTTCTGAGAAATAAGTTGTACAGGAGCAATATCAGGAAAAGATGAGAAAAAAACGTAAACGTGAGAAAAAAGAGAAAAGCCAAAGGTAAAACAACGTAAATAAAACCAAAATGGACTGAACTAAAAAAAAATGATATTAAAATTCATTAAAATTCAGGAACTGTATCAAAAAGGTGGTGGTTTCTGGCTTTTGGTGAATCTTGCACACAAATAAAGATGTGTTACACAAACTTTAGAAAGATTAACAAAATAAATGATAGAAGTTTAATTGTAGTTTTTTGCCATTTACTGTTTGCTAGATGTTTCAGCTAGCCCCAAACAGGGCGTTAAACACCTTTTTAAAAAAATGATTATTTGTGAAATATTGAACATTAGCAATAAAATTATTTTTACTTGATTAAATAAAGAAATAGTTACAATATCCATCCATCTTTATTTCGTGAATCTCAAATTATAAATTTTAAAAAACATCAAACCTCAAGCTCTAGCTTATGTTTGTCTTAAAGAGCTAGATCTATTATTCCAAATTTGATTCAATTTTTATAATTAAACCAATTTTTGATGAGTCATAATATTTTAGGATATTCATAATAGTTTAGAATCTAACAAATAAACCATTATTGTGCAAAGTTTATTCAAAAACATCCAAAACAATTGGTTAAGAAGTTAAGTGGTTAACAATTCATTACAAAGAATTGGCCCTGCCTATCCTTAATGAAAACTAATCTGCATTCTCAAGTGATATAAATAAATGTGTAAATATTGACAAAAAATTTTGCACTTATTTGGTAATTATAAAGAGACGGCTCAGTCGATTGTCGTTCAAATCCAATCAACGCAAGTCCTAATCGAAATTCATTTAAATTTCACCAGAAAAAACTTCGATAAAAAGTCAAATTTTGTCTGGGTTCACAATGACTTGAAATACCCAGAAAACAAATTTTTCCTTCAAAAATTAAGTATTTGTTTTCTGTATAACTTCATAAAATACAAAAACACTATATAAATAAATATAAAATGCATATAAAATATGTACTAATAAATAATAATCTAAATTTATGTCACCGCTGCAAGCTTGTTAAGAAGTCTTGGTTTAATTATCGTTTTTTGACCGTGTTCGAAAAATCGTCGATAAACGATCAAATTTTGGCTCACATAGATTCGGAATGGCTTAAAACCTCGAGATAATATTCCATAATGATCGATTCTACTAGAATATAGAACATGATTAAATTTTTCACACCTTCAAAAATTATTACATGAAATTTGAAAAAGATTTCAAGTATTTTCAAATTCTCAAAATTTTATCAAATTTTAACACCCTAATTTCTTATAAAATTTTAACATTTTTAGTTTTGCACAAACTATTTTTACCACAAATACAATTATTCAACTAATACTTGTTTAAAAAAAAGGAAATGTATAAGTGAGATGAAATAATACACCACTATTTCAAATATATATATTACCTCTAGATATCCTACTGGTCCATTGAAAGGATAATCCCCGAGTCGGCGCTCTTCATCCAGGAATTTTCCAGCTTTGCCATTTGTGGGCGGACTGAACAAACCGTAGTTGAAGCTCTCTTTTAGCTCCTAAAAATAATAGAAACGAATGAAATCACCGAGATAAAATTTTACACGTGTGCTATGTTAATATTATTGTAGCATTAATTAATATTATATGATATTCGAGTCAGACATTTTGTTAAAATATGTTGTAGGCATCCAGAATATGCATAGTGGTATAGGATGAGCTATGTTATTGAATGATTAAATTATGGTCTTTTTGTTTCATTACATATTTTAAATGCATAATCAATCAATCTTGTTTAAAAATGGTTTAGGCATTCATAATATGCACAATGCAATGATAACAATATCATCAAATCAATTATTGTCTTTCTGATTGTATTCTGTTTTTACAATTCATTAAATAAATCCAATTAAATTAAATAAATAAAACAATAATAATTAATAAATTGATTACAATTACTTAAAATCAGATGAAAAACAAAATGAACTCTATTTTCAATATTTTTTTGAGCATCGATAAACTCCTTGTGGGGCGTAAGCCTCATGTTGGAAAACACTGTTTCTATTTAAAAAAAAAAATCACTATTTTTTTAGTATAAATATAAATATATTTAGATTTTATAAGTTTCTTGATTAAATCCAAATATTAATTAACATTATCCACAAAGTACACGTTCTATAGACCTATTTTTTTATATATCTCTGCATAAATTAACCTTTGCAGAAATTGTGCTTTTGTTGCCTTCGAAAGGTCAATGCGGAAAATCCATTCGCATTTTCCTTTTATGACTTAAATGAGGTCGCTGCAGGATTCCATGTAGAGGAAACCGGGGCATAATATTAAAGAAAAAATCAGAATTGAAAAATTGTGCATCCATAGAAACAAAATCTAAACTGAATTTAGAAATATTATATTGAAATTGTATTTAAAATATAATTTTATAATCATGGTTTATAATGCCAATCGACCGAGTGTTTTTTTTTTTGCAATTACCTGTTAAGTTAACCCTATTTATTATTCGGTAGAATATTTTCTATTTTAGATATTTTAATTTTCGCATTTTATTGAGAAAGATAAAATATCAGATAAAGAACAATCTACAAAAAGAAAACAATGTACAACTACAACTAGTATTTTCATTACTAATAAATAATTTCTGATATCTTATGTCTAAACCGTTTTAACTCAAAAAAAATGCATCCGATCTCCCTTATAGAACAGTTTATACCGTGTTCTGTAAAATTGAGTTGGTCGTTTATGGTATACTAGCAACAGAATCTATTTTTGAAAACTTCATTAAATATTTACCAAATGCTATTTTTGGTGTTCGAAACTTTGCCATCTGCACTATTATAGGTGTAATAAAAACAACTGTGTTAAAAGCCTTTTATGGCAACAAGAAAACATGGTAAAATACAAATTACAATCGAAGAAATAAGTCTAATTTATATTTATTTAATATATTACCCTTAGGCACTGCCCAGAAGAATAGATATGTAAAATATTGAATGAATTAGGGTATGAAAAGAAAATAATGTATATGAAAAACTATAACGATATGTTTCCAATACAAAATATCTCGAACGTCGTATAATAGACTACAAATATATAAAATAATAATAATAATGTAGGTGGCTAAATGATTTACCAAATTCTTCATTTAAACTTGTTTTTCAAATTTTGATCACAGTTTAAATATTTAATGTACGTCGCATAAATAATGAGTCGGTTGATTGTATTAACAATAGTGAAAATTAGGTATGAGAATTATTGTTTGGTAAAATCTTCTGTAGCTAATTGATCCACTTAGAATCATTTAGTGTAATATCTATCGAATACTAGACTGATAAACATGTGAAAAATTACCTCAAAATCATAAAATATAAATGCCGAATCCTGGTTCATATTATATATAAAAATGAAAACAGAAATCTTAAAAAACATTAAAGATTAGAGGAAACCTTAATAACCGATTCTTTATTGATGTAGCAAATCTTAGCAGTATATGACAAGACAAATATAAAACAAATAAAAAATCATCAGCAACCGTGTATTTTAAATTACCAAATTTAGCTCTAGATTAAGTCAAAGAAAAAATAAAGTCATTAAACATAAAAACCAAGTATAAAAAATAAAGCTAACTAATGGATCAAAAATAAACCCAGAAATCTTGAAAAATATCCATAACAAAACTGCATGTTAGCAAAAATTTCCTAGCAAAACAAAGACATTTATAGGTCGAAACCCACGAAGAATATGTCGTAAAATACTGATAAAAAATTTAACACTGTTTTATATACCAAAAGCAACATAAAACGCTAAAATGTAACTTTGGCGAATTCTGCACCGCAATCGAATGATATAAAAAATTTAACGTAACCATTAAGCCACTTGCTCATGATCTTTCAGAAAGAAAATATTCATATACAAAAATTAACTTATGAAAATTTCATTTATAATTCTGAAAATTACAATTTGTTAATTGCTTATTCTAATATGTAGAGGAATTGCTTTCCTATTCTCTCTAATAATTTAACAAACTGGTTGTAAGCGGCATTTTTGCCTTGTGGCAGATTGCGTAAACTCCCCGATATGTGTGAATGATCGATTTAAACAATAATATTTTTTAATTTATTTATGATCTGTTTACCTGTCTTCTTTTACACCTGTCTACCTGTCTACCTCTCTAGATTTATTCCCGCGCACGTCTCTACTTGTTTACCTGTCTACCTGCTTACCTGTTCACCTGTCTACACACCATTTGTTTACCTGTGTTCGTATGTACCTGTTTTCCTATCTACATCTCGAAAAGTTTACCTGTCTATCTATCAACTTATTCACCAGCTTACCTGTCTATAATTTATCATTCTACCAGTCCATCAGTCTACATGTCTCATTATCTACTTTTTTAACTGATTCACTGTTTACCTGCCTAACTGTAAAGCTGTTTAACTTTCTACCTGTCTACCAATTTTAACTGCCAACTTGCTTTCCTGTACACTTTTTTTTCTATTTTTCTACTTGAGTATACAGGTTACTGTATACCGATTTTAATAGGAAGGATACGATATTAAGAATTCAAAAGAATTTTAATTCCTAATCTTTTTTATTAATTAGATAGAGGCAAAATGGTTTCTTGGCTTTGTTCTTATTTATCTACACACGTTTGTTAAATTTGCAAATATTTGCATGCTCATGGAAAGTTGGCTTTATTATGTCGGTCACTACATGTCGCATCCTCGATCATAAAAGATTATGTAACTCGGCCTTGTAAAGTTCAAATGTCAGACATTTATATTTGCATACGAGAATAACAGAAGCAGAATTGAGATATTAATTTCTCACGAAGAATCAGGTGAATATTTGGGTTAACGAAGAATATGTGTAAGAAGATCAAGGGGCCGATTCTCGGATAAAATAGAAATCGCGCAAGTTGGTTTGCGTAAAGGAAGGATTTTTTTACCATCAAAAGAATCTCAAGATCTACAAGCCTTAAATAAACTATCTCAATATCATAACATTTTTTATTCTTTGCATTGCATAATACTGATATTAGGCTTAATATTGTTTTAGTGATGTATTATACTATAATTAATTCAATTAAGATAATTTATTTTCTGTAATTACTAAATTTAATCTAGTATCCGAAATATAATCATAAATATTAATAAAGGTATAGGCTATACCGTATAGCAGCATGAAAAACAAATTACCAGCTCATGCGTTTATAGACCCGTAACATAACATTTTTAATTTATCCAAGATTTAGCACCTAAATTTTCGATTCTTTCTGATAGTAAATGATTGGATAGGTGCTCAATAATTAACTTTCTTGTAATTTGTTTTTTGTTCTAAATTGACTTGATTGTACATTTTAAGGGAGTTGTTCTTTTTTTTGTTACAAAAAATGCAAGGTATTTGTTTTTGTTTTTCTCGAAATGTATTTATCATAGAGACATGCGGTTTTTTTAAAACAAAAATTACAAAATCATAGAATATTAAGAATTTTTTTTTTATCGCCGTCATTTGTTAACCAGGGGGCGCCAAAGTGGGCATTGCAAAATCGATCTCTTTTGCGGTGCCACAGATAAATCCATTGCGCATCGCCTGAAACAAAAAAAACGAAACTACGTTGAAGAAGAAGTTTGAATCCAGTCCCCCTACCAAAATAAGAGAAAAAAAGCAAGAAGAAAAAAAATGGCAGCTATTTAAAAAAAAGTGTCAAAAAGGGCCTTTTTTGGGACGAGAAGCTTTGCAAATTTTTTTTGCGTAATGTTATGAAGTTGTTTGAGGTAGGGGGACTAGGTATTGCAGTGGTGAACAAATTAAAAAAAATGCAAGTCGATCCGACATGTTTTTTTTTAATTCGTGGCACCGCATTGAAAAAAGTCAATTTGAGAAAAACGTATTTATGTTTTTAATATAATGTACTAAATACACCATTTAATTTAATGTACTAATACACCATGGTGTTCAAATATTCTGACACATTAAAAAGGTCATGTGCATGAGGTCTCGAATAATGAAAAAGAGAGCAGCTGGCATACAATACCCCGAGGAGCGATGAAAAGGTTTCAGAGGATCTGAACATATATATATATATATATATATATATATATATATATAACTTCGTCAAAAAATAGATATTGAGATGATTTTTTTTTAAATAATTCTAAGGTTTTTAGCTTTCATAATATCAAAAAATCTCAAAATCGAAAAACAATAAATAAAAAGCGAACATCCCCCTTAAGTGATTATTCCTAAATATATATACATATTTTAAATATTTACATCTATCTTAGAGATAATACATCATTTAATAAAACCATCACCGTAATAGTTTTATTATTTTTTTTTTTTGGTTTTAAAATACAAAAGGTATAAGTATATGCATGTTGTAGAACAATAATGATCGTAAAAATATTAAATAGGTTCATGATTTTTTTTTCGATTTTATAAACAGTTTGTGTTATTTATGTACCCAATATTAACCACAAACCTCGACAGAAAAATTATTCAATTTCACAGAACCTAGCCAATCATATACCTATTATCAGAA